TAATCTGGCTTTTATTTTGATCAACTCCTAATGGGAAACATAGATAAACAATTACCTTGTTTTTATGTTTACATATGAAGACTTAAAAACTTGTTATTCGTATTATTTTCTATTTTTCTGTTATAACAAAAAGAAGGTGTTAAGATTTGATTTTTTTTCCTGTTTTTCAACAGAAGAGTAAATCGCTAACAAAAAACCCGCCAAAGCTGCATAATTCTTTRAGTATTTTCGAATGTAAAAATATGGATATTCCCCAAATGTTTTTGTTTTGTGTGGTCGCCTTATCGGCATTCTAATTATTTCTTCCTTTGAGCTCATCAAAATTTTTAAATTCATGAATCCATTACATTCAAGAAATCCTTTACAATTACTCAAAGTGTCAGGCCATAACCAATGAAGATCAAACAGTCCATCACCGTACAGAACATCGATTATAATGTATAAAGATAACAATAAAGAAACTACATGACAATATTTTGAATAAAAACAATGTCTGCAAGCCAGCTCCTCAAAAAATAAATTAATTTTATTGCTCTAAGGCGACCTTGTACTTGACACGTTCCTTGGGATCGATGTAATCCACGATAGCTCTAACACAATAAAACAGTTCTTGATAATATTATATGAAAATCAAAAGTTAACCGCCATTAGATTCAATGAGGAAAGTCACGAGCCGAAAACAATGATATTTCAGTGAATAAAATCAGACAATTACTTTCGGTGATTCGCCGACCAGAAAACCACTGCAACTTACATATCTGACGAGAACGAATCTGAGATTGCACTATAGCGGGAAAAATAATGAATCATAAACATGAAAATCTGGTACAAAGCTGTACGTGTTTATATACTCCATACATATTGAAGYAAGGAAATGTTTGAACCACGAATTGTTGTTGTAAACTCAAGATCGAGATAGCATGCAGTCGATTTAAACTATAGTCCTTTCATTCACAAATAATGCATGCTTTCTTGAAATATATTCTCAAAATAATTCCTGATGTCACATTTGCGACGTCAAAAATGGCTACTACTGTTAGCCGTGTGCCGTTGTAATCGTAGCGATCGACAATAAAATATGTAAGCGATAACTGGAAAACTAAACAAATGTGAACCAACCTTGAAAGGGGTAGAAGGAGCGGTCGATGTAACCAGTTTTAGTGAAGTGCCAGTCACCAGGAAAAGGCCTAGGAAGCGGGAACGCACTGGACGATATGATATTATAGAGAACGACGTATAAAATGCTATGTGGGTTCATTTGGAGTCCAAGGTGTACAGACACTTTGTCAAACRGGGAAGTTTTCCTAGTTTCTTGGCAAAAGAAAACGTCTGAGATGGACTTCTTGGTTCGTTGTTCTGGGAATTCCCCATCGTATATCTAACGYTTACGCTACAAGTGCTGCATTATTGCACAGGGTCTCGATCGACAACTTCTGCAACCCGTCAGCTGCAAAACTTATTCTAAATAATCCCTATAATTTATTCATTTTGATTACAATAAGATTTTGGCCGAAATGCTAATTAGGAAAACACCGGAAGCCTCTATGTAGAGATGCTTTAAAATATTCGTCATATGTTTCTTTTATTTGTTAATGGTAATCACATACCTTCGCTTGGAATRCTCGTGCTGTTCGAATACACAATAAAGTCTGTTGTAACGAGGGAAAAGGTAGATCAAACTACCAGTTGGTGGCAGAAGCTTGGCGGTAGCTGTTCGGCCCGACTTGCAGCCAGGTGTTCTTGAAAATCACTATCCTTCAATATCTTTTCTAAAATCACTACACGCCACTCACTTTAAAATAAACCTTACATGAAACATACCCTGTAGGATTTTGTTTGGATTCGAAATAAGAAATTCTTAAATGAGTCATTTCCAAGATGTATACGCTAACTTCGAAAAAGTAACGTTCCTCCAAGTCCGGACCTTATTAAAAATGAATGTGTCGGATAGCTGCGAACGACTTCAATTTCGCTGTCAAATCAAATGTATTCGGTTTATTAAAGTCCACTTCAACAGCTGACAGACAACATTGATCTAGAACCAGAGTCTTTTCTATTCAATGACTTTATTTTGACGGGAATATCTTGCTCTCTACATGTTGCTGAGCAAAACTCTATCCTCTTTATCTGTTCACCATTGTCAATTTATAGAGATTAACAAAACCACAGTTTGTGATCGCTGCGAAACGCTAAGCGAATTTCTCGTGACAAAAAAAAACTAATCTAAAAATCTGCAGTGTTTAGTGTGACGTGGTCCGCGATATAAAGTAACCTTGAATATCCGTTCACTGCAACCGAAACGTAAACAAACCCAATGAACATGAAGTTAAGTTGCCCTGAAGTAAATTTACTGAGATAAAACGTTGAATAGGGACGCATCTGTAACCAAGCGTACAGAATTTTATGCTATATTCTAAAATCAAAAATAACATTGTCATTTCTCGCGATTGAAGTTAATACAGATGTTTTTAAATTTAATGAAAACTGAAACTATGCCTACAAACGTAGGCGGATTGGAAAAAGGTTTGTGGTACAATGTAAAACTAAATAAAAAATGCTTTAGTGAAACCGTCTGTYTATGAATAAGGAAGTGRTTCTTGCGCCAGCTTCATTATTACGAAATACTCGAAGAAATGGCGTGAACTTTTAAATACTTTCATTATGTCCTAAGTGAATTAATGGTACCATTACAGGGTTAGTAATCCCTTCGAAATGGATACAATCATAACGTTTTTCGCACATCTCTCGTGGTTTTTGTTATAATTGGGATAAAGCAAATTTACCGCAARCCTGGGTGATTGTTGCCATCATCTAACCRCGCTGCAATTGTTCTTGACGTGTTTGCGAGTGTGAAAAAGAGGATGTCCCGAAAATAAGAGCTATGTTATAATACTCGAACAAATTCTCATTTAAAGGTGACATCTAAAAAGTTCAAGGATTTTAATGCAGTTACGTGGTCAATTAAAAGAGAGAGCTCAAATTGTAATAAAAACCTTTTTCAACGCTTTTTAATCGAAAAAGTTTTTTCGCTGTCCCTACTAAAACAATTTGATCATAACAAGTGATATCAGGGATTTGTATATCATAGTTGACAGCGTTATCATCAACTTTAAAAATTACAATTACTGTAATTTGGTAGAATTTCAATAGAAATCATTCACTCCACAAATTGGTTGTCAAATATAATATTTCAGAATCTAAAGCAAAACAATAAGAAGTAAAATTTTCTAAAAAAAAAAAAACCCAACGGAATACAAATTACTGCCATGTACCACTTTAAAATATTCACAGCACAACTTTAATATTTTTCGTGTTTTTCTAAAACATGAATTTTAATGTGAAAATAGCAAATAACTCGTCAATATTACCAGGATTAGAATATTTTAAAAGGATTTCCGCATATTCCTTTTCAATCATCGCTATTAATGTCAACTCTATCTAATTCATTTTTTAGTGACACATGCTAGCTAAGAACTATATTTAGCAGAACGCAACCACTTTTCCTAAAAAATACCTAAAAAATATATATAATGCATATATGAATATACTGCAAAGCCTCCTACATGGCATCTCTCCAATAACGGAGCTCCACGTGTTCTATTCCATAGTCTGATTGGCGTTTACAGTAGGCTAGCTAAATACTTCCAGATAGGAAGCAAATCATTCCATGTTTACGGAATTTCACACAGTAATTTTATCGCTACAATCTTAAAAGTTAATATTATTTGAAGAACCTTGTCCACTTCTAACTATAACATAGATAAAAGTTTCTTCCTTTTGATTAAGAAGTCGAAAAATCTAGATTCATGAAATTATAATTGTCGAGTTCACATGTCATTTCCGCATTCTCTGCTCGTTTAACTTTGCTAAAAATTTTTTTTAGGCATTAAGTAAATTCTTAAGTTATTAATAATAGGTTTTCTGATAAGTTATACCCCTGGAATTTTTTCCTTTCCAATTGAGTGAGTTGAAAATAATCAATGACACACCTTTGAGAGTGTGAAATAGTGGTTAAAAAGCCATGTCATTGGACAAGATAAAGATTTTTTTTATGTTGTGAATTCTCTGGACCCTTAAATTTTAAATATTAGAATTTTTGTTTTCATATTTTTGTTATCATCATAGCAAATAACATAGTTTTTGCAAGTCAATATTGGAATCCTGCACTTTCGTGTGGTACCGAYATTTTCGATATCGGACCACATCTAYCKGAGCACGTTTCATCATTAGAAGAATCTCAGGATTAAACCTGCATAGAACTGTCTAGAATAATCCCTAGCACCTAGCAATTGTATGAGTGCTTTGTGAACAATAATCTCAYCKATCCTCTTTCATGGCACATAWTATACTTAAAAAAATTCAACGAGTGTTCCGTGCCCTAAGAATCGCYAGCTTTACTTCACTAAAGTCAAAGGTCGATTTCTCCCTGTTTTTTTTTCTTATTTTTTAGTGATAGTGTTTTCGTTTTTCTATTAAGTAGAGTATTCTAAAGAGATAAGTCCATTCCCTTGGTAATCAATAATTCAAATTTCAGCGAGCTTTAATATTTATCAAGATATGGTTTTCAAGTAATTACGGGGTGAAATTTCGGATTCTCTTAAAATATTTATCGACTTCACACAAGTAACTGATAAAGAAGAAGCAAATAATTGCGAGATTGTTTTCTATTTTGTCCTAACGACTCTTTCATCTGTAAATGTAAACTTCAAACTCTCGAACAAAAGCTTTAAATTTGGAAAAATAACAAACAAGAGGAGTTGTTTATACATCAATCGGTGAATCAAAACAACAGCGCAAGCCGCACACATAAGGAGCTTTGAGCACACTGGGAGGTATTGTCCCCACACAAAGCTAATAAAAAACATGCTCATCAAAGATCAACATTGGAGCTCAAAAACAACTAAATACCAACTTTAAGTTTATACCATATTARGATTACCATATTAGGAAACCATTACCATATTAGGATTAGTGTCCCAACACCATATTTGGATAAGTACCTTTTGAATACTCACCGCACGAGCCCTTTTTAGCAACTCGTATCCATTGCCCCAACATACAAGAATCCTGCTTCAAGACACATTGATTTAAGTAATTCTTGCTGTTTGTACCACAAACAGGGGCGTACTCATACGTACAACTTTCTCGACATTTGCATTCGGCATAGTCTTTGTATTTAATGCAGGTAGCGTGATAGAGACACTGGATGCTATCGCAGTCTTTGCCTGGAAAATTAACGAAGGGAAAATGGTATTAAAAGTAATCCTTGCCATGCAGTGGTAACCGGGGAGAAAATTCTATCTGGGAGAGCATGCGGTCATCGGTTATTTAAAACGTCCAAGCTATTCATTAGCCCCGGCCCTTTTTTTGTATCTGACTTTGTTTGCAATTAATATTTCTTAGTTTAATCGAATAAATGAAAATTAATTATTTGGTTGTTATTGTGGTTAATATAAGCTAAAAAAACATAAAACACGTGTGTTACGTCACAGGCTAAACGAGCTCGGTGGTGAATCAAAGTCCAAGCTGTTTTTAATTGCTTTTTAGATACTCTTTAAATATTTCAGTTGAAAAAAAGTATTGATATAACAGTATAGAGTGCAATCAATCAATCAAATCAACTACTGCCGAATATGCAGCGCAGTATACAGTAATGGGAGGGACGACATTGTTTAAATAATCTTTGCGGCACTCTTAACCACACATATAACAGCAGTGTCAAGATTTATGAGTCACCTAATCAATCGTCATATTTTTTCATATATTTTCATTCCCAAGTTACTAAACATATCTCATAAGTTAATGCTACGAATGTGATGAAACTGTGATAACATATATACGGCTTTTGACTTTTTAATTATTATTGTTATAGTCGTTACTTTTACACTAATTTCCATCAATCAGAAAAGCATATTTTTTATCTTAATTTTCGGAAGTTTTGGAAGTACTCATCGATATGATAAAATACTTGTACTTAGATTTCACGGGAAAGTCCTAACCCCCTGACCTTCTCCCTCGATCCACCCTTCTGCACATGGCCTGATATATGGAACAAAATGTAAGGACCTACAGTAATTGCTCTTCCTGTTGCGAATCTCCTGTCCTCCCCATGTCTTACCTCTTCTCATAACTCTAGTCATGTTGCCATATGTAGGTGCACTTGATGGCATTAAATACGGTGCAAGACTGCTAGAGCTTGGATTTATTGTAGGGGAAACAAACGGTGGCTTTGTAGCACTGTGTACTCCCTCATCTGTCGAATAAACGAATCCAGTACCAGAAGACTCGGGTGATGTACCTTGYACATTAGTAGAKCCTTTGGAGKYTTGGGTATTCTTGRTATCTTTCGAGCCCGGAGCTGAGGAACAGAAAATCGAAAGTTTATGGCATGTATTGCTCAGRTGGATTTGAAATATTAATTCTTAAGTTTGTTTTTGTTTGTTTATTTTTTGTTTTATTTTTGAATGCGCGAGGCTGAAACAATTTAAACAAAATCTGAACTAAAAGAAATCGAAATCGAGTAGACTGAATAGATATACAATACCAAAAGWATTGGAATTTCCCAATTTCAAAGTTTTGTCTTATAATAATATTACTTACCACAGTAGGAGCAGGATCGAGGACAAATTTCCCTCATTTTCCTGTGTTGACAGTACCTTGATTGTCGTGAATAAATATTACAGCTTTTCAGCTTATCCGTGCAATATCCTTTGATCTTTTCTGATGATAAGAATAATTTGACTTAGTTATTTATATTTTAATCAATCTGAGTTTAAAACAGATTCATTTGCCCAAGCGAGCCGACAACACGCTCTTTCTGTTGTCTGGACAACACAGGAATCCCGAATTAAGGGATAAGAAGAGAAAAGAGCGGGAGTTTGGTACTATAGATATTACCTTTGCAYGTTTTAAGGCGTAGGCTGACACGAGGGCACAGGCATCTGTGCGTGTCATCAATCCGTTTGCATTGCTTRGGATCATAGCATGGATTGCTTGTGCATATACCAACTGTAAGATAAACAGAGTGTGACGTAATTACACAGGAAACCCAATTACCAGGAACACTTAGATACGAAAGTATTTGAAGGATAACAAAAACATCCTAATGGAAATCAGGGAAACACCAAACTCTCCCAAATTACATTTCCGGAGGTATTAGCCACAAAAATTAACCTGATTTGAAGTAGCAGCATACAGCAGTCTCCTGATCGTACACTACACCATTCAGATAAACACCAGCCGAGTCACTCGACGAYAACCACTTCATCCAAATAGCAAACTGCGATATCTCAAAATATCCAAAGTTCCTGACCTCCAATATCTTGTTAGGCCTACCGAGTGTTATAACAGGCGTGTACCGCTTAGGRCGWGAYGATAAAAAGAATGGTTTGGGACCACTRTAAGTACTTAGATTGCCGTCCTCGTAGTATTCAATACCAATWGACTCTTTCCAGGAAAATATCATATGAATCCACTTGTTTCTGTCTGCCTGGACATGGACKCGCCATCTTTTGGTAGCTGTTTCAAGAATGAATTCAAATCCTTGTATTTTCGTGTCGTACAAAAGTCGAAACCCAGGACCACGTTGGGAGTTTGTGAAAGACCCAGATGACATTATGTAGCCGGAGCCGTATACTTTAAGCCAGAAAGCGAGTGTAAAACCGTCCTTGCAACGTGTTGGATCCGTCACGCAATCCGCATTGAATCCACCTATGAAGCAAATTTCCAATGCTTTACAAAAATTCCTAGTTGTCGRTGTTAGTGTGTAAAAATTAACAGAATGAACAGTGATACTGGTCGGTTTTTGATGTACAGTGCTCATGTTAGTGAACTGTGCAACTTGCTTGAAACTGGTCATTCTTTTAAGTGCAAAATGCAATAAGTGATTTGTGCTGCAAAATAG